TGTAGTTTATCTAAAAATCTATCAATTTGTCAGAGGGTTTTTTGATTTAGCTTGTTTTAAAAAAGTTATACCACTTTTAATAGACATTGAATGTCTCTTGCTGTAGTTACTAAAAAGATGATATACATGTATGTCAAAATTACTAAATTTAAAAATTGTCATTAGCGCAATCGACGGGTATACACTAATATCAATCGATAATAAATTATGTTTAAGACTTAGAAAAGTCACAGTTAATGAAATTTATTAAGTTATACAAGAATAAAATTTCGAAATAAGATATAGAAAAGGTCAAATTTCTATAACTTTATTACATGCTTTTAAAAAGGTCTTAATAGACAAGTAATAGCAACTAACTATGTATAATTTTTTCTGAAAATATTACGTAGTTTTTCAAAGTAGCACAAGAAGCTTATATATTCGTACGTACTAATTTACTCATTTAAAATGTGGCATCTTAGTTAGGGCTATTTATAGGGTTAATAACAGTATTATAATTTTACGAGGAATATTTGTTTTGGGGTGATCTCATTTACAATAAAGTCTACGCAACTTGCAGAGTTGAGTACGCCAATAATTTTATGTTTTTTTGTGCTGAGTATGATTATTTACTTAATCTATAGTAAAATAACTATAAATAAATTTCTCTTATATAACAATACATTTAATTCATAATAATTTATAGTGACGGATCGGTCTTCAGAAAGACCAACACTGGTCGAAATTACGTGTTGATCGAATATCATTCAACGCATTTAATTTTTTTTTGTTCGGTACAAGGCTGGACAGTAACGGACCAAAGACCAAATAATCCATATCCTTGAAACCCCCTAATACATCAATTTCAATTAAAATTAGATTTCCGAGTTTTAACTTTGAAACCTCCTCAATGGTTATGGCACGATTCCGACATCGTAATGCCGACATGATATTTCATCCACAGCACATTTTTTTGATAAGGACATTTCACTTTTTGACAATCCTTTTCTTAAACAAGGCATTTCCTTAACAGTAATTTCCAGATATATAATTCTAACCAAAATTAACTTTAAATCAGGCCAAATTGGGCCAATTTATGTTGAAGAAATGATTGTCGGGAAATGCCTTATATAAGAAAAGTATTGTCGAAAATATGCAATGTTGAATATATGTCTTATCGAAAAAATACGCTGTAGATGAAATCCATGCAGTGTCGGAGAAATGAGTTGGCAGATAAATAGCTTTTGAGGAATTGAGCGACAACCTCCTCAATATATGATTCTAACTAATAAAAATCAGTGGATTTTTTTTTTTTTTTTTTCAACAAAATAACATCGAAAATTTTTGTTTCAAAATATTAAAACATGTGGCAATAATAATATAAGTGATACTCTAATTATTAAGGTTTTTTAAAATTATTTTAATTCTCAATAAAATAAATATTAAAATCCCAAAATTTCCGAAATTCATATATATATTTGTTTTAAATTTTGTAGAATAGCAGCATTATGTAAAATCAAAAAATTAAAAGATAAATTTGCGCATCACGTTTATGTTTATCCGATTGCTTTCAACATTAATTAATTTAAAAGTATTAAGAACCAAATATTAAGGCTTTGGTTTTCATGTTAACCTTGACAAAGAAAAAAGAATATTGGATGAATAGCGCGAAGCATCTTGACAGATTTTGTAAAAATAGCTAGACGATCGTATTTGTTGTATGTTTTTCATATTTAAAAAAAAATGTCAAAATTAAACATTCGAAACCATGAAAAAATAAAAAACAATAAAAGTCATTAGACTTTTTTTTTTAATAAAAAAGCTTTTTAATTTTCAAAAATACTTCATTAGACTTGAATTAGATTTGACATATGCTACATTTTAACCAAACTTACACACAGTTTTCAATCAACAATTATTTGAAAGAGGTGTCTAACATGGGTATATCATGAAAATTATTGAGTTTGATAGCATACTGTGAACTGCGCATTATTAGCAAATAATCTATATTCCACACTGTACGTGGACTCAATTGTAAAACATGTAATCTTGTTTTTATTAGTGCGCAGAAAGTAGTTTCTTAGTGTGATATTTTTCTGTCCTTTGATTGGTCCAATCAAAAATTTGGATGGAATTAGTACGTTTGAGAATACCTTACATAAACTAAATTTGCTTCGGACTTATAATAATTCCTATTTTTTTTTTTTTATACATACAGCATTTATCCTGCATCAGGAATATTTTAAATTGGTTGGCAGTCGATTGATGTCAATCGATAAGTAGCACCCCAGCGATACTGATTAGAATCGATTGACAACAAAGCTGCTAATTAAAATCGATTAGAATCGCTTTGAAATATCAGAGTCAATTACTTAAATATTTTTGTGTTATCATTTGTGTTATCATTTAAGAGATTGATTTGAACCGTTTAGGAAGTATTATTCGGTGTATATCGATGTATTGATTCGATAGCTTTTGACTTAAAGTCGTTATAAATTCTGAGACAAACTAATATGCCATTTTCCGAGATTTTCAGTACTTCTTAAAATCAAACTCTTCAAAACTTAAGAAAAATAGAAGAGAATTTTGGAAATATGTATAGTAAATTTTAGTTTGTCTCAAAATATACGAGAATAGCTGTAATCCGCTCGTCTAATATAAACCTTTTTTCAAGGGAACTTTCTAAGCGATTGCCGATAAACTTTGAAAGGAAAATTATGAATCTTTTACGTCTCGATTGGGCAATTATAAATCATAATCACATTTTGATACGTATTACAAATTAGGAGGTTGCTACAAGTTTTATATTTATTTATATTAATATTAACATAGAGGATTCATACCTTTACTGATCATTATTGTCTTTAATAAATTACAAAGATCTGAGTCGAATTTATGTTATAATAAATAAAAATTTCCCAAAATTAAAACATCCCAAAATTTAAAAATCCTAATTTAAATACGTAATAATTAGAATGCAAAATGTTGTGGATTTCTAATTTATGAAGGTTATTAACTGCAAAGGCATTTATCACATTAAACTGCTCATAAGAAAATATTCCAGAGCGTCAAATAGAAAAGAACCAGTGAAAAGAGTAATTAGTGTGCTATATTAGTATGCACGATTAGCATAGTACTAGGAATCGAGACCGATATAAGTCCGGAGCATAATTTAATAGCGTTAGACTCAAATAAATGTGTATTGTATGATCTACATCACATGAATATGCAGTAAGTAAAATTAATGTTGCTCCAAATAAAAAATCAAAGCGTAACTTTTGTATCACAATGCACTGAAATTGAGCCCGTCACCTCGCTCCAGACAATTAAATCATAACTAATTTATTATTTTATTGTCCATTTCTTCGAGATAATTAGTCCAATAGATATTCCAATACTGAACGATATCATCATGGTCTTCATTTTCACTACCCTGTGGTAGACCTATGCATAAGATGCAAAAGATTTAAGAGTAAAAGAATAAGGATTTTTATTTTTTTAAAAAAAGGTATGTCATAAAAACAATACATGAACCAATTTTTATGGTCTATAATCGATAAATTCGATACCATTTTGAATGTTTTCAGATGTCGGCTTCTGAAATGAAGGATCCTCAGATATTTGTTCTAAGTGTTTCTGCGACATTGCCATGGCTGCCGTAATGTGAATGTAAAAAATAAATTTCAAAGTACTAAAAAAAAAAGAAGCTAAATTCATCTTCTTACATGATTTACAAGACTCAGCTATATATTGAATATCATCATTTAACCAATGTTGCGGATAAAAATTAGAATTACTATTGCCTCCGTTGAGCATAAATGTCTCAGATAATTTTTTCTGGGGACTAACATCATCAATCGATACTTGAAAGGTAGCCATAGCTATAGTTGCAGGTTATCAATAAAAAAAATTTAAGTAGTTATAAATAAGAATACTTGAAATTTTTCTTACATGCCCGACAATCCATTGAGAAAATTTGCCCATTTTGGTTTGTTTCATGTAATCGGGAACTTTGTCTCCATCCATCATAATATTCGCCATTGTCTCCATTAATCATAATCATGACTGTCATCACACAAGACGTAAAAGGATTAATAAAAAATATATAAGTAAAGTGCATTTCTTGAACTTGGATACTTACGGGATTGATATTCGCTGACATCATGTCGAACGTTTTCAGATATATTATTTTGGCTCAAATGAGGTTCTTGAGCAGTTGCTATTATTTAAAAATCAATACATGATAATAACGAAAATCATATAAACCATTATTTACTTACACGGTTGCGGCTTAGGCCCCCTTTTTTTTGCATCTCCTTGTTGGACACATTCTAGACCATTTTCGATACAAGACCTACAAGCTTCACAATATGGACCGCCGTCTTTCTGGCACTTGATTTTTTTTTCTTTACAACGAATACAGGCACGAGCTACATACTTTCCTCTCTTATCGCCCATTGAGTATATTCTTATTGAATGGTTTAATTTCATACACTTTATATAGTTTATAATTGAATAAATGCTAACCATTTATGAAAAATACCCTATCACAATAATTCCAAGTATGTTTATTTTACAAAGAACATATTTAAAGATTTCACAAAAATTATTCCGCGGCGTATCGTACAGTATATCCAAATTTATACATTGACACTAGCAGACGACGTTAAATTCCCTGGAACATCTTCGGGGAAATTATTAAATTTAAATATTGGGAAAGATTTACGTTTATTGATACTTTGAATATTTCCAATCCCCTGTAATGTAACAGTAAAATAACATTTTCCAAAGTTACCTTTCACCTAGTGAATGCGCAGGAAATGTTAGTTAAATTTGATGCTGAAAAAAATATGTTATTATAGTAATAATTATAGCTTTAAAAGTTCAGAGTTTGCTTAATTGCCAAAACATAATAAATAAAAGTCTTAAATATCCTGTCAAAATATCTGGGATCGTTTAACTTACTATAATTTTAATATATGATTGAATCATAGGAATATATACTCCTACTTTGACATATGAATTTATAAGAAGGATCATCGAAATTTTATTGGTTAGTTCAATAAGGAAATCTCAATACGGTGTGTTACAAATGATTGGGCGTGTTGTACAACTAGAAATATTATAGTTTCCGCATTCATTCATTCAAATTACCTTTTCATTTTCTTTTAATTACGTGTAAGGTTATTATGGAATAATAGACAATAAAACTTTTGAATTCGTGCTACCGTTACATAAAATTATAACGTCACTCACAAGAAATTTATCTGTCACGTGATGATATAATTTGTGCACCAATCAGGATGATCCTTTAAACTTTGAAAAATTTTTAAAACTTTTAACGAAGGTTTCTCATTAACAAGTTGATCAAATTCAATAAATTTTTTCTATTTTTAATTCAATACTTCTGTAGAATTAAAATAAAAAAATCCATTAAATTAGGTTTAGTGGCTATCAAGAAATATTTTACAAAATTTAACATTCAAATATCAAGCTAAAATTGAACAAAATTTTCTCTTTTAAACTTTAAACGAAGATTCTCAACAGCCATCTATTCAAATTTGATAAAATCTTTCGTATTATAGTTCTATAAATCATAAAATAAAAAATTTTCATCGAATCTGGATACACGTGGTTCTCGATTCAACGGATATTACTTATACGAAAAGTTATGATGGAACCAAATTACTATAATATCTGATGTACTGTATCATGAGATTTTGATATTATAGAACTTTTAATATAACGGAGCAAAGGAATGGATTCATGATCTCCGTTATATTGAGAGCCACGTGTAGTTGTTATCATAAAATCTTTATTTAAAGTTAAATTAAAAATTATTGTAACATTTCTTGGCTTTTTCAAAAAAGGCAACTTTAAACAAAGATTTCTCAACTCCTATCTATCCAAATTCAATGGAAATTTTTTTATTTTAATTCTAAGGTTATAGAATTAAAATAAAAATTTTGATCGAATTTTGGCGACTGGTTGACGAGAATAATAATTTAAATTAAAAAAATTTATCCTCAGCTTTTTTTTTTATAGATGCCTAAAATTTGAATAAAGGTTACTCGGCATTTTGTTGATCAAATTTGATAAGGATTTTCTTATTTTAATTCGAAAATTCATAGAATCAGATAAATAAATTCAAAGAAAGGAATTTGCCTGATTAGCTAATGTAAATGTAACTTGTTTATACACTTTAAAGTACTTTTTAGTAACACAGATGCGTGAGAATTAGACAATAAGCTGCCATTGTTGCGTCATAATTATGGCATTCGTGATCACGTTTATTATGCTGCAGTATTGAAATTCGGATGTCATTTAATTATAATTTGAATGCTGCAGTACTTGTTT